GATGAGACGGACGAAATGAAGATAAAAGAGAATGAAAGATTATCTGTGGAATATTACTGCCCCAGCATTTGCCTAAAAAATCCAAGGTAACCCCAAAAAAAAAACTTGGACCAAAGCAGACGCACCAGAAATCGAACTGGTGTCCTACCGAATGCAAGACAATGGTCTAAACCTCTAAGCCATGTCACTCGGTCTTTATCTGGTATCAACCCCCACTTGCAGACTTTTCAGAATAGCCTCTGACCAGACCCCTCCATCCCTTAGGCGGCCCATACTCCTACGATAATATTGCACAATATAGATGATTGAACAATATTATTAGCGGTGTAGGGATAATATTGAAAAATTGCGCAATGATTGAAGTTTTTTGTGAGTGTAGACTGGTCTTTTTTTAAACCACTCTTTGGGACATATTCATGTTTCTAGCATGAAAATATTGACTCGAACGACTTGTCAATCTCATTGCTAAATATTCAAAAGTTGGATTCAAAGGGGGTATTCAATATTATTGCACAATAAAAATATTGTGCAAAATTATTGTAGGTGTACAGGCCGCCTTACAAAGTCTTGCAGGTTATGCACAGCTTGTTGTTGATATAAATTGTATCTACTGGCTTCTTATTTTGACAGTAACTATGTAAATAAACTCTAAGTCATCTAAAGTAGCGGCTAAAGCAATAAAACTTCCAGAAGATTTATAAGTTTATTTTGTCGAATGGCTAACATCCGCAGAAATAAGAAGGACGGCCCGAATTTTATTTAGTAACAATGTTAAGGGACATTTACCCTTATTGAGTTTATCTTTGTAGCCGAAATTCAATAAAAATGTTATACTACCTGCGCATATCTCATATTTCGATAAAACAGGGTAGTGGAATTCGTTTGAATACATACTTCTGAAAGTTTTCAAACTATTTTGAGCTTTGTAGGCACAAGGTACATAACAAAATATGAAACGAGTTTCGTTTGAATGGTGCCATAAAGTTGTAATTAAGAGCAAAGACTGTCTATTGTTGGCAGTTTTATTGCATGAGCCGTCACGGTAGATGGCTCAGAGTTTAGTTAATGTGGGCATCATTCATTATATAAAGAGTTATCTGTTATAACGAGAGTTTTCACTGTAAGTGATGAAGGTTTTTATAAACATATACAGTGATGCATCAAGGTATACCGTAACATTATTTAGAAGTCGCGCTTACCTTATCGACATCAATAATTTGTATGAACCAACCCAAAAAGTAATGGCTAAAATTAATAACAACACATCGAACTCATTTGTACTTAAAGACAATACGATTTAAGTTATGCTCCAGAATTATAAGTCACAACGTTTAAAATGTAGTTAAATATAGGGTCAACGGAACCGTACGTTCCAGTTTCTTTGCTCGTTGTTGTATAGAAGATGATACGAGGGTGGATTGATAAGTTTCCGGCCTAACCAAGAGATGACGCCACTAGGCCTACCTTGAGGTGACATTCTATAGTACCATCCTTGGATAGCTTGTAGCTATAGTTTCAGCCCGATCTCCTTGCTAGTGTAGGTTTGACAGCACGCTGAACAAGACGCCTCTGTGGTTTTCGTAAAAATGGAAAAGCAGGAAAATCGTGCTGTCATCAAATACTTTTATTTGAAGGGGTTAACGCCGAAGGAAATTAAAAAAGAGATGGACTCAACACTGGGGACATCCTCCCCGTCATATTCAACCGTTAAGCAGTGGGTTTCCGAGTTTAAAAAGGGTCGTGTGAGCACCTCTGATGGGCCTCGCTCAGGACGCCCCGTTGAGGTCACAACTCCAGATATGATCGAAAAAATTCATCAAATAGTGCTGGGAGACCGCAGATTGAAAGTGCGTGAGATAGCTGAGACCTGTAAGATGTCATATGAACGTGTGCAACATATTTTGCACCAACATTTGCATATGGAAAAGCTCTGTGCAAGATGGGTGCCGCGTTTGCTAACAGTCGACCAAAAATTGATTCGAAAAAACATTTCTACCGCAAATTTGTCATTGTATAAGCGTAATCCAAGCGAATTTTTGCGTCGATTCGTAACCGTTGACGAAACGTGGGTCCACCACTACACTCCTGAAACCAAAGAACAGTCTAAACAGTGGATTGGACCAGGGGAACCAACTCCAAAGAAGGCAAAAACAATTTTTTCGGCGAACAAGGTTATGGCTACTGTTTTTTGGGATGCAAGAGGTATTATATACATTGATTACCTTGCAAAGGGTAATACTATCACTGGTCAATACTACGCAGACTTATTGCAACGTTTGAGCCACGAGGTGAAAATTAAACGACCTCATCTGGCGAAGAAAAAAATCTTGTTTCATCACGATAACGCACCAGCGCACACGTCAATCGTTGCGACGGCTAAAATCAACGATCTAAAGTTTGAATTGATGCCGCACCCTCCTTACTCTCCAGACCTAGCCCCGAGTGACTATTTTCTGTTCCCTAATCTCAAAAAATGGCTTGGCGGTAAGAGATTTGCGGACAATGAAGAAGTAATCGAAGCTGTAAATGGTTATTTTGAGGAGCTTGACGAATCAGTCTATAGAGATGGCATTAATAGACTGGAACACCGCTATGAGAAATGTATCAGCCTTGGAGGAGATTATGTTGAGAAATAAAAAAAAAAAATTTTTAAAAACCTTGTTTTTCTTGGTCAGGCCGGAAACTTATCAATCCACCCTCGTATAAAAGACACGACACGTATACCGGCTTGGCTTAGAGGTTTAGGCCATTGCTTAGCGTTCGGAAGGACGCCGGTTTGATTCCAGGCTCATCTGCCCTGATCCAAGTTTTTCTGTGGTTTCTTTGGATAATAGGCAAATGCTAAAGCAGTAATACTTCGTCCGTCTCACCCTAACCACTGTCACTCACCTATTCCTACAATTCCTAAATGAAAGTTGAAGAGGGCCTCCCACTTTGCCATCTCCGGTTTAGTCAGAAGGGACTAGTTGCCCGCTAACATTAGTTTGGAGGGATATCTAAAAGTGTAGTATTGGTCTGGACTTTCCAAACATGACGCCTTTGGGAATTTGTCTTTTTTTGGCGACGCCCCCCTCTGGCCGAAAAGTACCTGCCAGTTGTAGTTCTAACCTACTACCAAGTTATCAGTAAAACTCTAAATAATATTTATTATAAAATAAGAACGAAAACAAAATATAACAATAAAAATGAAAAGAGGTATTTACTTTTGATGGCTGACTACTAATAAGAAGGATGTTGTTACCAATCTATGTAGATCGCCTCACGACGTCTCTGAGATAACATCGCGGCGCTCCAGGGCGTCGCGACGCACAGTTAGGAAAACCCTGCTATAGGTAATTCAGTTAATCGACGTCTGTGAGTAGTACGATAAGTGTTGCAAACACTTAACCCGTTATTTCGGCGGGAGGTAGAAGAATCTTTTTATAGTATCAAGTTTCGTTTCATTCGATCGACTTATTCACGTCGCGTCGACTAAAAATTGATCGGAGAGTCGCCGTTTTTTCTTCCTTGTTTCCCGCTTACGAATTTGTCGTGATCGTTGTGGACGGAACAATGACGAGGTGTTGTACTTCCACTTGGTTAGGCACGAAGAATAAGGGTAATAATGTTCAGGGATAAGCGTAAGCCAGTTATATTAAGGGGTGCGAGCGTTTTGCGTTACGTTGCGTTACGAGGCTTCTGTTGTTGCTTCTGCTGCATCTGGCACGTATTGTTTAACCGAAACGTTTTCCCACAAAACACTTGATTATGCATAAGCAGCGAGCACACAATTTTTCATAAGAAACACTTTTAAGACCGTACATTCAAAAAGGGGTGGAAAAAAATTTGCACGGTTTAGAAATAGAAGTTCATATTTAGTCTAAGTAAAAGATTGGTAAAACAGTAGAATTAATGGTGATATTAATTAAATTAATATTATTAATTCTGGTTAATATAAAACTCGGTAATTTCACCCAAAATATTAAAAATCTGATAGTTTGCAAGGTGTTTGTAATTTAAGAATATTTAGCACACACTGCTCATTCTCTAGTCTGTCAGAAAACTGGTTGAGTGCACTCACCTCCAGTTCTTCCAAACCTAGGCTAATGTTGTCATCTAGTACTCTAATCTGGGGTATATTCTCTTCATAATCTTTTTCGACTTTGCGATCTCTTTTTATTAATAGTGGCTCAACCTTGCGCCATTGTTTGTTGTACGTCTCAATCGCTTTTTCCAACTGTCTGACTTCTAAGATGTCGAATATTGGTGACTTTTAGCTTTTTATCATCCATTTTTAAAGACATGTTATGCGGCACATGGAGCGTGGATCAGCATTTAATGAGCCTGCTGCAACCGTCAAAAGAATTAAAAGAAACTGCTAGGACGCGTCTGTCCGCTCCAGGCCGCGCCGAACCCGTTAAACAGAACTTTAGATAAGTTCGATCGATAAAAGGCCATGTTATACAACGCGTGGAGCGAGGATTGACAATCCACGCGTCGTGTAACAGGGGCTTTAAATTAGCTCCACTGTTAAGGGCTTCTTACACGGCGCGTGGAGCGTGGATCGGCATTCTACGCGTTCGCCGCCGCCGTGAAAAGAAACTGCTAGGACGCGTCTGTCCGCTCCAGGCCGCGCCGAACCCATTAAATAGAACTTTAGATAAGCTCGATCGATCGGTAAAAGGCCATGTTATACAACGCGTGGAGCGAGGATTGACAATCCACGCGTCGTGCAACAGGGACTTTAAATTAACTCCACTGTTAAGGGCTTCTTACACGGCGCGTGGACCATGGATCGGCATTCTACGTGTTCGCCGCCGCCCGCTAGGATGCGCCTGTTCGCTCCAAATTGCGCCGAACCCATACGTCTTGTAACAGGGGTTTTACACACCGATTGAAAAATTTTTCATTCGGTGTGTAAATGCTTGAACTACTATACGATACTATAGATGCACATTGAAACAATAAAAGGGAAAGCATACCCTTATTCGTCAGTAAAAAAGGTGTTTCCTTATTTTCAGGTTTCGTCAATTAATCGGGTACTTAGGAATTTGGCATCTCAAAAGGAGCAACAGGCTTCGCAGCAGAACGAATCAGTATACGACAAATTGCGGATGTTCAATGGGCAGGCTCCTGGATGGGCCTGGTACCCTGGTACAACACCCACGCCGCATCTAGGATTGCCTCCAGCGCCCACCGCACTTACAACTCAAATCACCCGAGACGACCATCAAAAAAGAGGTACCAATACAATTTTAGTTCATTTAAAACAAACCTGTCCAACCTTTTCAACAATCGCTGGCGGGTCGCCGATTATTTATTGACGCATTGACGTATTCTTGAAATAATAAAATAAATTGCATCTACTGACAAATTGAAAAACAAAATTTTATCTAATAGAAATCTAAATCCATGCTGAAATTTTTTGTCATACTTGCGAGCTTGTCATAACTTTTAAAGAAAATAGTATGTCGATAGTTGTAAGAGTTATAAAAACTCGAAACTGCCCCTTCCTCCAACGCATAAATTGATAAATAATATAAAATATATTTCAACCATATATTATGCAGCCATAGGAACAAAAAACACTTACTCCGAGGACATTCTCGTAGATCCCCTTTTATCTCTTTTTTTTTTAAACAGTGGTAAAATTTTTTTTTTATATTCAGTGTTAAAATCTAGTAAAGAAAACTGAATATTTCAAATACTAAAAGTATTTTGTCCCACGAAAAGAATATTGAAGAATTAAAGTTACTTCAAATAGTTTAACCCATAAATCTACCGGAAGTAAAAATTTTTCGTTTCGTCTAGTGTATTTGGTCTTGGTCTAGCATATTTGGTTTAGGCTTTAGTCTTGGTTTTGCTAGTATAAAGACATTTGCATTTTTGCCCATTTTGCTCATCACTATTGATTATTTTAGTAAAGCTGATTATGAAAGGATTAACAAAAAATTGTAGATTTTGGTTTTCTTCTTTTAAAGTTCTGGAATTTACTCTCACACAATTGTAATAAGCATTAAAGTTTAGTTTCGTAATACTTTATGGTGAGAATTAAAGATACTTATCGATATATTCGATACATTGATATTTTTTGTTATCGATAACCGTTAACTAAAATCAGTTATCGTCCAGGGCTACCCAGCTATGGTGTAAATTAAAATTTAATCGATATAAAAAGCCAGCACCGGGAACACTTGTTGTCCCAAGGCCACTTCGCACCTGAACTTTCCATTCTTTTTATGTTTTTCATCTATTAAAGGTCTTTCAATATTTATTCTTCACCCCCATCAAATCGACGAATCCTACGAATGTAATAAAAAATTCCGGAAAGGTGCTTTACTCTCAATTTGCTCTTTTTCTACTGTACTCGAGAAAACAATGGTATTTTTTGGCGACGTCGTTGAAATTCCGATTCGATTTTTCACGTGCGAACGGGGGAACCACCTACATAATTCGGTTATTCGGTTGCCAAGACGTAAAATATGCAAATATCCTCTCAACGAATTCGCAAGCCCGAAACACGACCGGGAGAGAAGGAAGGCGACTCGACGTGTTGTCGACGAGTAGTACGATCAGAAGACGAAATAAAACAAGAAGGAAAGCGAGGGTTGATATGAAATGGGGTGGAGTTTACAGAAGCGGAAGTAAAGAGGGTGGCAAGCGGGTGGTGGAAAACAGCACGAGTTGCGCTGCCTGCGGTCCCTTGCACTGCCTGCTCGATTCGGCGGCTATAAAGCGATAAAATTTGCCGATAAAAACATTTATGTTATACATTAATAGGATATTTGTTTTTGTACAAAACGTTTTTTTTTGAATCAGATTAATACAGGTTCAATAGCAAGCAGTTTAATGTCACAGTTCTTTTATTATTATCTGTCAAGGTTATGAAACATTAACGCGATAGAAGTATCTCATAAAATGTGAGAAAAAATATTTTCTTCTAGAAATATAAATAAAACATTTTTGCAACGTCTACAATAAGAACGTTAACTGGGCGAACTCATATACACTATATCTGATCAATATTCCCGAATATTTGAAGGGTAAAATCTAAAGTGTGCACAAGAAGTACCCCAGTTAACAAGCCGTCAATGATTGAGAGCAGTTACCGCGTTATCTTATCGGCTTTCAACGAAACACACATACCTGTTCGTGACCTTCACCAACAGCTGATACGTAGACAAGTCAATTATACGTAATGATTAGTAATAATCTGCACTCGTTTAGCGTCTATTGGCAAAGTATTACCACAAAATGTAAAAATAAGTTGAATGTGGAAATATCAAGCAAAAATAAATGTATTCACATGCAGAATATGCAGACTTGGTGGTCACATTGGACGGTGCAATGGGAATGCTCCAGCGGTATCACGCGAATACGCGTCATATCGTCATCATTGTCAGAGCAGTTGGAGCTTTCGGTAGGTCACTACCCTCATGTTCATATATATCACTGAGTGGTGCGAAATGGTTCATTGTACTTCTTTTCTCTTTATTTTTGTACTGGTCAGACAAAATGTAGGTATATTTAATCACTATTTTTATTTATTTAATATAATGATTAATAAAAAAGAAACACTTGGTTTTAATATGTTTCACTAATTTATCTTCTAGATTTTACCCTAAGATATATTTCGGTTGTAATGCCCTTACGTATCAAAGAGCTGAAAATAGATTTGTTTTAATGATTTCAGTCAGATAGTTCCGAAATCCAGGATTCAAAAGCCCATATGACAGAACTGCTCTTTTATATGCTAAATAATTCAAAAAACCCCGGAATTTGAAGTAAAAAAGGTAATCTCAGAATGAGGGGTAAAAATGTAACTAGCTATAACCGAACATGGTCCACCAAAACATGTCTTGTTTTTCTATTTTCTGTGACGACTTAGATTAGAAAATGAATACCAAATCCTTCTGAATTTGGGATAACTTCTCTGTCAAAATAGTATTCCGTCAATAAGTGGGACAGAATTTTTCTATCAAATGTGATTTCCGAATTTGAGGAGAACACGGTATTAACAGATGCATGCAAATGTGCATATATCCTAATTTATTTGTGTCTATGTATATTTAAAATACATGAGTATATATAGGGAAGAGTTTGAGAGTTTAATAGTCGCGTCGCGTACCATCGACGACACAACTCGCGAATAATTCAGTTTACTGGCGTTCAAAATGAACATAACTTCCATGCGAGCGAGCTTTTGCCGCCCAATCTAAACCGGTAATTGTGTTAGCGGTAAATTTCATCGCAACACTCGTCGACAACAGCCCAGCAGCCAGCTAGCCAACTCACGGGCGCTTTTGCGTTCGTTCGCTCGCTCGCTCGCTCGCCCGCTCGGCACTATTAGCGAGCCAAAAATATAGCGCTTTTATGGCCGCTCTTATATACTGTTTCTTCCGTTCGTTTGCTTCTGGTTTTTATTATTCGCCTGCACCGCAATCGTTTGTTTTACTTCGAAAAACGAAAAGTTGTCCGCCACCGAAGAAGCACTAAATGACCCGCCCCTTTAACTACTCGACCCAAATATTCCCTTATCCGGACGTAAAATTAACTTCAGACTTTCAATTTTCTTACGTACCTACGCGAATTCTTAAACATCACTATTGCATAGGTCTATAGGTAGGAACATTAAATTCAGGCATTGAGGTTTAAGTGTAATACCAAACATTTTTACCGCTTATTAGTATTATATTTTCAGGGACTCGATGATTAAACGTCTCATAAATAAATGCTGCTTTAGTATATCAAGTGTCATTGTAAAGGACAGCAAGTATTATATTTACCTAGAGCGGCTAAATTGCTAAGCTGAACCCTGAAAAGTAGTGTATATCAGCCGGGAATTGTCAGTCAGGTGCGAACAAATTTGAATACGAATAAATTGCTCGTGTTACAACAACCGGTGTAAGAACAGTCACAGTTGACGATTGGGTGAACTTTGGCCCAACATTGAGTTGCCCAACTTTAGCTGAACGGAGTTCATCCAAGGCTGGACCAAGTTAGGCAGACCTGGACCAAAGTTGGCTATATTATCTTGGGCTTATTAATCTTTAGCCAACTTTGGGTCAACTTACATTGACCGGGGATTTATTTTCTATACTTAAATTCAAATAAAATGATATCTAGAAGAATTAAATAAATATTGTGATCAATATTTTCTTTTTTATTAATTAAAGAGATATTAGCAGTAGTTTTCAAACAGGTGATTTTGAAGGAAAAGGAGAAATTATTTTAACAATCTGNTTAGAGGCAGAAACGTCTATCTCTTGGGAACAGTATAATCCTTTTTTAAAATAAAAGGTTATAGACGATTTAAATTTCTTAATTATGTTCGATACTAAAAATCGTAAAAAGAAAATTAATGTGGATAGAGAAGGTTAGAAATGAAGAGGTATTAGAAAGAATAGGAGAACAGAGGACTCTATGGAAGTCAATAAGAAATAGGCGAGATAGGTTAGTAGAACATCTTAACAGGCATGAAGGTCTAGTCGAAGACATATTAGAGGCAGAAACGTCTATCTCTTGGGAACAGTATAATCCTTTTTTAAAATAAAAGGTTATAGACGATTTAAATTTCTTAATTATGTTCGATACTAAAAATCGTAAAAAGAAAATTAATGTGGATAGAGAAGGTTAGAAATGAAGAGGTATTAGAAAGAATAGGAGAACAGAGGACTCTATGGAAGTCAATAAGAAATAGGCGAGATAGGTTAGTAGAACATCTTAACAGGCATGAAGGTCTAGTCGAAGACATATTAGAGGCAGAAACGTCTATCTCTTGGGAACAGTATAATCCTTTTTTAAAATAAAAGGTTATAGACGATTTAAATTTCTTAATTATGTTCGATACTAAAAATCGTAAAAAGAAAATTAATGTGGATAGAGAAGGTTAGAAATGAAGAGGTATTAGAAAGAATAGGAGAACAGAGGACTCTATGGAAGTCAATAAGAAATAGGCGAGATAGGTTAGTAGAACATCTTAACAGGCATGAAGGTCTAGTCGAAGACATATTAGAGGCAGAAACGTCTATCTCTTGGGAACAGTATAATCCTTTTTTAAAATAAAAGGTTATAGACGATTTAAATTTCTTAATTATGTTCGATACTAAAAATCGTAAAAAGAAAATTAATGTGGATAGAGAAGGTTAGAAATGAAGAGGTATTAGAAAGAATAGGAGAACAGAGGACTCTATGGAAGTCAATAAGAAATAGGCGAGATAGGTTAGTAGAACATCTTAACA